CCCCTGCTCAGCCTGCTTTCTTATGCAACACAGGCCCACCTGTCCAGGGGTGGCACCACCCACAGTGGGCTGGGCCCTCCCACATCACTCATCAAGAAGATGCCCTTCAGACATGGCCACAGGCCAGTCCAATAGAGGAAATTCCCCAATTGAGAACTGGGATCCCAGCACCTAGATCAGGCAGCTCACAAACACCTTCCAGCTCTAAGGGATCTAATGCTCTCCTCTGGCCACCATGGGTACCAACAGACATGTATAAACATTCATACAACACACATGCACACACACACAAAACACGTGTACATATTCACTCAACCACACACACATGATGTACTCACATCACACACACACACTCATACACTCATACACATCCACATGCTTATGACTCACAGCATACAAACGTGTATACTCACACACCACACACACACTTACACACACATGCACGTACACTCACACCATACCACACATAAACACAGTGACATACACATGTGCATACACACACACAGCACACACACATACACACACTGACACATATAGAAATAAATGTAATAAAGTTTTAAAGAACTAGTCAGTAAACTAAGAAAAAATAACAACAATGATGATAACCAAAACCAACTAAATGAGAACAGAAGTTGAAGAAATACTTCGGGATATTTTGAAAGGTACAACTCTACTTTCTTGACTTAGAAATGTGAAAACAAATTTGGTCTTTGGTCTTTTTGAGACAGGGTCTCCCTGTAGCTCCAGCTGCCTGGAGCTCACTCTGTAGACCAGGCTGGCCTTGAACTCACAGAGATCCGCCTGCCTCTGCCTCCCAAGTGCTGGGATTAGCGCCACTGCTGATCCGCCTGCCTCTGCCTCCCAAGTGCTGGGATTAAAGGCATGCGCCACTGCGCCCAGGAAAGTTTTTTTTTTTTTTTAAAAAAAAAAGCAAAGATCTCATCCCGCCATGGTTCTCACAAAAACCACTAAAGGTTCATCACAGACCCAAAGTCTCCACTGAATCAACTCTTTCTCAACTCTCGGGTGTATACGGGCAGTACAAATTGGACTCCAAGGGTTATAACAAATAATGGATAATAAAAAGAAGACATGAAGTTGGGGGAGGTGGGTGGATTTGGGAGGAGTTAGGGGTGGATATGATCAAAATACGTTGTATACATGTATAAAAATTACAAAGATGTTTAAAAATATTTTTTAAAAAACGATTTAAAAAAGAAAGAAAAAAAATGTGGAGAAAGATTTCGGGAGACCCCCTAAGGTCGAGCTCTGACCCCCATATGCACCTACACCCATACGCACACAAGATAATGGAGCTTTAGGCTCAAGACCCTCAATTAAAGAAGGAGGTGCCCGGAGGTGTTTTCAAATGGCACTATATATGATAATGCGACTTTCTAAGTTACATTGGTCAAAGGATGTAATTTACAAAATTTTAAAATTAAGCAAAAGTTAACATTTAAGTACCCTTTACAAAAAGATTATATGAGTTGGTTTGCTTATATTCCTTTAAAGAGTTTTTTCTTAGATTTATTTTTTATTTTTGTGTGTGGTTTTTAAATTTTTTGTTTATTTCTATTTTATGTGTATTAGTGTTTTGCCTGCGTGTATGGATGTGCACCTTCTGCGTGCCTGCTGCCCACGGAGGCCAGAAGAGGGCGGCAGAGTCCCTGGAACAGGACTTCCAGCAGATTGCTAGCCACCCTGTGGGACCCGAACCCCGGTCTTCTGCAATGTCCTTAACCACTGAGTTTGCCTCAGATGCACAGATATAGTCTGCTGGCCGGAAGGCGGGCCGTTTTGCTGTCAGAATCCACTTACAAGAGAAGGTACTCAACTGAGCGAGAAGAACGAGGGCTTCTAGGCTCCTACTTCAACTTTTTAGCGGCGCTTTGTGTCAGAAGGGGTTTTCAGATGAGGAGCTGGATTCAGAGCAGGTCGTGATGCTGGTAAGACCTTGGAAGGATGAAATGCGCTGGCGGGAGGTGGGGTAGAGAAATACCCGGGAGAAAAGCATCCGCCCACCCGCTAGGGCGGTCTGGAACTCGCTGTCCCGCTGAGCGCCGCCCCG